TCATAAACATTACACGATTTAACCACTAGAGGGCAGCAGTGTTACATTATTTAATGAATCATAAACATTACACGATTTAACCACTAGAGGGCAGCAGTGTTACAACATTTAATGAATCATAAACATTACACGATTCATGGAAGAAACACTGTAGAATCGTCATACTTTGTCCAATCTTCTTGAAATTTGAGGCAGTAGTTCACTGATAGTGTAGTTACAGCCCTATACTGTCATTTACCTGTACAGATACAGCCACAGGCAGTTATTTATACTGAAAGATACTTTTTTATTTTATGCGGACAAAAATCTTCAATTTTTACTGACTCCAAAGGCCCACTGCTCTGTTTCTATATGACCTACAGGATTTCTGACACTTTTGATGCATATAGTCACAGTGGTTCAGAAGCTACAGCCATTTTAATTTGGGTATGTCATTTTAGGCGGTTTTGCTCCAAAATAGGGGTGGAGTTGAACAGGTAACAATATAGATACAAATCAAACCAAGAGTGAGATCAATTAGTTAAACTAATAGTGTTTATATTTGAATGGGCCCCGGGACACTTTGTACTTGAAAAGTTGGGCCCCGAGGTCAAAAAGGTTAAGAACCCCTGCACTATGGGAAATGGGTCATCACAAAATCAGCCATTGTTTTTTTAATGCCATGATTGCCCCTTTAGTTTAAGAGCTTTGTGGACTTGCCAACTGCCAAGGGGCTTCAACACACACACACACATATTTCCTCGTGGCAGGATTTGTTATTATTTTTGAGATTTTTTTTTTGTGTGTGTGTGTGTGTGTGTGTATCTGTGTGTGTACAGCAATCTTTGTGAGGATCAATTTGAGATTTAGACCTTAGTCCTCACTTGGGAAAAGACCTTCAAAAGCCTATTTGAGAGTTCAGACTTGGCTTTAGGGTTTAGGTTATAGGTTTAGGTTAGGTTGGGATCAGGCATTTAGTTGTGATGGTTAAGGTATAAAGGGTTAGAAAATGCATTATGTCAATGAC